CACTCTTGTACTGGCTAAAGTGCGCACGCTCAGAGGTAGGTAGGTGGCGACGCACACCAAGACGTGCAGCAGCATCGCGCGTGGCCCACTGTGAGCGAACAGTGGCGTCAGCATCAGCAGCGGGGGCAGGAGAGGCACCAGAAGTGAGGTCAAAGAGGGAGAGGCCGTCTGCCCTATCGCACTGTAAGAAAAGCTGCAGGTCATCTATCCAGACGTCAAAGTCAATGGCCCGACCCTCAGCGTCAAAAGAGAGGACACTAGGGGTAGCCATGACAGCAGTAGACTAGCAGCGCAAACAGTAGGGTGAGGGCAGTGCTGTGAAAGAGGCGCTGCTCTTACCGGACAGGGCGGCTCGGGCGGCTCGGCTGCAGGGCGGCTCGGCGGCTCGGCTGCTGGGCGGCTCGGCGGCTCGGCTGCTTGGCGGCTCGGCGGTTCGGCTGCTGGGCGGCTCGGCGGCTCGGCGGCGCGGCTGCTGGGCGGCTCGGCTGCTGGGCGGCTCGGCTGCTGGGCGGCTCGGCGGGGCCGCTGAGAGGGCGGCGTCCGGGGCCGCTGGGAGGAGGCGGCGGGGCCGCTGAGAGGAGGCGGCGGGGCCGCAAAGGTAGGTGGCGAGGCCAGCAGGTAGGTGGCGGGGCCAGCAGGTAGGTGGCGGGGCCGCACAGGTAGGTGGCGGGGCCGCGGGTAGGTGGCGGGGCCGCTGGTAGGTGGCGGGGCCGCAGGTAGGTGGCGGGGCCGCACAGGTAGATGGCGGGGCCGCGGGTAGGTGGCGGGGCCGCTGGTAGGTGGCGGGGCCGCAGGTAGGTGGCGGGGCCGCAGGTAGGTGGCGGGGCCGCACAGGTAGGTGGCGGGGCCGCGGGTAGGTGGCGGGGCCAGCAGGTAGGCGCCGGGGCCGCACAGGTAGGCGTCGGGGCCGCAGGTAGGCGCCGGGGCCGGAAAGGGCGGCGTCAGGGCCGCAGGGCGGCGCGAGGGCCGCGGGGTAGGCGACGAGGCCGCAGGGCGGCGGATCGGGGCCGGGTAAGGGCGGCGCGATGGCCGCGGGGTAGGCGACGAGGCCGCCGGGCGGCGGGTCGGGGCCAGGAAGGGCGGCGCGAGGGCCGCAAGGCAGGCGACAGGGCCGCTAGGGCGGCGCGACGGGGCGAGAAAAAAGGGAGGGGGGGGGGAGCGCGACTCGGGCTAGGACTGAGCGCGCTCCGGGCAGAAAAAAATGTCGAATTGGTGGGCCCTAGGAACAGTTCCCACGAGGGAACCTGCTCGATACCATGTGAGAATAGAAACGAGAATGAATGACTAAGGGAAAGTTGGGTACAAATGTAAACCCTAGAAAACTGTACCCCATATGTGCTACCCCACTATAGCCTACAGTAGCTATGTCATATAAATCTGACAACCGCTTCATACTTGTGCCTTATTAAGCATGACAAAAAAAAAAAAAAAAAGAGAAGAGAAAGAGAGAAAGAAAGAAAAGAAAGAGAGGAGAGAAGAGCGTGCGTAACGAATGCATGGGCGCCGACATTGCGTCGTATCATCGCTCGACCACATTCATAGTACAATGCGCTTTATCGTTAAATGTCGTAGTAATATATACGCTTGTTTACTTATGACATCCCACTCCTGTCCCGTTCTATGCCCCACCAGAATCTGGTTACATGCCCAACGCGAATGAATCTCGCGCTGTTGTGCGACATATGCAAGGACGCTTGCGAGCTTGTTCTATGTGGTGGAACACTTGGTGCACGAGTCGGTTCATCTTATTTGTCGTCGCTGCGGGGTATCGCCTGCCATGGCGATCTCGCGAACCCACCCCTCACCATGCCCCAAATCATGCGGGCGCTCTACAGCATACGGCGTTTGCAGCTGAAGCAGTGACCGACCTTCTGGCCACCGGCGCAGCGCGTATGGTCCCGGCTGGCGCGCCACTTACTTGTATTAGCCCACTCAACGTGATCGTCCAGCCTTCTAAGAAAAGGCTCATTCTCGACCTTCGCCACGTGAACTCGTTCCTCTCCATTCCTCGTTTTCGGTACGAGGGACTTAATCGGGTACCCGACCTGGTGCGTCAGGGTGAATGGTTGTTTACAATAGACCTTAAATCGGGTTACCATCACGTGGACATCGACCCATCATTTTGGCGGTTCCTCGGATTTTCATTGCAAGGCCAACAATATCAATTCTTGTCCTTGCCCTTTGGGCTTGCCACAGCTCCATTCGTCTTCACGCAGCTAATCAAGCAACTTGCTAAGCGTTGGCGCAGCAACGGGATTCGGTTAATCCCTTATGTGGACGATCTCCTATTCATCAGTGCTACTTGGGCTGAGGCAATCCGAACACGAGCCGTCGTTCTAGATGACCTCAGCTCCGCCGGCTTTGTCGTCAATATGGAGAAATCACAACTCGAGCCCTCGCAACGGCTCAAATTTCTTGGCCTCATGCTAGACACTCGCACCTCCTCCTTCTCTGTCGATGCTGACCGCCGAGGCCGGTTGTTTGAGGAACTCGACCATTTGTGCCGAATCAGCACGCAGGGCCATCGTACCCCAGTTCGTCGAGTGGCTAGAGTGGCAGGCATGCTAGCCTCTATGGCGCTGGCACTTGGCACCATCGCTCGTGCCTTCTCCCATCACCTGCTTTCTCAAATTAGTGCGTGCCAAACTTGGGGGGAATCCATTTACTTGACACCAGAGTCAGTTGACGAGCTGAGATTTTGGCTGACTCAGTTCGACGTCTTCAATGGTTCTTGTTTCCATAATCCGCACATTTATGACGTGGTCATGTATGTGGATGCAAGCGACCATGCTTGGGGAAGCTGCTACTCTACGCCGGATGGTCGCGTCGGCTCAAGTTCTTCTCCATTTCCTCGCACGCTATCAGCCGCCTCAAGCACGCATCGTGAACTCGCTGGGATTCTGTGGGCTCTGGCGTCTTTCAGCCGCGAGATTCGGCGATCCCATGTGTTGCTTCGGAGCGACAGCCAGGCAGCTTACTACATCTTAAAGAAGGGTGGTTCACGCCACGCGGAGCTCACCCTAATTTGTCGCGCCATCATCACGCTTTGCGTGCGCCACAAGATTCGACTCACGGCACAGTGGATCCCTCGAGAGCTCAACACCGAGGCTGACGCGCTCTCAAAAATTGAACTTCATGATGACTATTGTCTCGCGCAGACATGGTTTCAATTACTCGAGCGTCGCTGGGGCCCACACACTATCGACTTGTTCTCGTCGCCGTCCAATGCACAGCTGCCCCGTTTTTGCTCTCTTAACTTTCATAAAGAGGCTGTCGCGCAAGATGCATTCTCTCTCAGTTGGACAGGAGAGAACTGCTATGCCTTTCCCCCACCGCCCCTAATCCCAGCTGTTATTGCTCACGCCCGTCGTTCCAGAACGGTGATAACTCTTGTGATCCCGGAGTGGCCTAGCTCTTTTTGGTGGCCATTGCTGCGCCCAAAGGGCACTGCGTGGGCAAATGATGTCCGCGAGAGCATGTATCTCGCCCATGGCTCCGTATGTCTAGGTGTTGGTAGCGATCCCCAGGCCTTTAGTGGTGCCGGTATTCCCCATTCGCACATGTATGCACTCCGTTTGATATATACTAATGCATAGTCATGTAAACATGCAGGATCTTACATTGGACGCTTGATGATGGACCTCTTGACACTCACAGTCGACTTGCGCGCTCAATCAACCATTCGCACATACGAACCATACTGGCGACAATATCGCGCCTTTTGTCACGAGCATTCGCTGCCATTCCTCCCCGCTACTGACCTGACAACGGCTCTTTTCCTACTACACTCGATCCGAAGGGGCGCAACCGTATCGGCCGTGCGATCCGCTTGCTCCGCAATCTCATGTGCCCATTGGTTGGTCGGCTGCCCTTCTCCTATTCGAGGACCACTTTCTTCACAAGTGCGGGAGTATGCGCAGCGCCACTGTGGCAAACCCTCACTAGCAAAGGAATCGATACCCCCGGCGAAGATCTACGACATATGCGACATCTATTTCGCGTCGTCGGATCCCGCCACGTTCCAGCGCGGTCTCATTCCCCTTTTGATGTCCGTGGCCTTCCTGCGCTTCTCCGACCTGATCGCCCTCCAGTGGCACCAGATCGAATTCGACCGTGACTGCATGTGGCTCTTCATTCCCCGCTCCAAAACGGATCAGGCTGGATCAGGTGCCTGGGTCCCAGTTGCCGCCTCTACTGCTCGTCACTGCCCAGTCGCCCGCATGCAACAATTTCTTTTCCTCGCGGGATTCTCTTCACAGACATTAGGCGCCCTGATCAGGGTGTTCCCGCCTAATGCTCGCGCTTCGCCGTCGGACCGATCCCCCTCATATGCCACGGTTAGAAGCTGGTGTCGCGAGGCATTCTGTCGGGTCGGCCTCAACCCGAATGTCCTCGGCACACATTCTTTCCGCAAATCGGCGGCCACTGTGGCAGTCGATGTGGGTGTTCCCGATCGACTCTTCAAGGCTCTCGGCCGATGGCGTAGCGACAAGGCTCGTGAGTTGTATGTCACTCAACTCGATCGCGAGTTGGTGGTGGCGTCTCGTACCCTTCAGGACCCGACGCGTCCTAGTCCAACCCATCGTTACGCATCCACCCTCGCACGTCATCGTCACATTCCCTCGATATGATGTCTCGCTTACCTATGACGACTGCACTGCACACTCCTCGGAGAGTCGTGTCACAATATGTAAATTTTTTTAAAGATAAAAAAATTGAGGATTGTGATTCGACTAGTAGAGGAGTTTGCTGTAAAGGAGACAAACTCCTTGACATTCCTGCAGGTCTCTCAGACCTGCCACCTAGTCTCATTTGCATTTTCCAGATCTTGATTTGCTTCCCTCCCTCCCAACCCCCTTTTATCGTAGACTGTTCTTAGTACGTAGCTTATGGTTGAACCAACTGTTATTGCCTATCAGAGTGTGCTGTATAATTGAGATTTGTAATGCTATGACGACTGCACTATGACGACTGCACTGCACACTCCTCGGAGAGTCGTGTCACAATAAGAGGAAGAGGAGGAACTTGAAGAGGAGGAGGACCTTGAAGAGGAGGAGAACCTTGAAGAGGAGGAGAACCTTGAAGAGGAGGAGAACCTTGAAGAGGAGGAGAACCTTGAAGAGGAGGAGAACCTTGAAGAGGAGGAGAACCTTGAAGAGGAGGAGAACCTTGATATGCAAACGCTGGGACTGCAGCCCCTGATGACCCCGACCCTGATACCGAGCGCTGCAGAGCAGCAGCGCCGCAGCAGCAGACAAGCTCGTGGAGCCAGCAGAGGCTGCCGCATGTGCATGGACAGTAGCAGGAGTAGCACTTGATTTGGCAGAGACAAAAGGTGTGACACCAAATGAGGTAGTGTCTTAGAAGACTTGAATTCGCTACGTATCTGATAGTTTTATGCTAGAAAAAGCCCCTGTATTCTGTTTATAAGATACTCAGGTGGGTGTCTTATCTCGTACAAGCAGAGGGGTCTCTTACAAACAGAAGTTCCTTTAATAAGAAAACACCCGTATTAGAAACACTTATGTCGTCAATTCAACACTGCCTTCTATCCGAGTATTGCTACCGCACCAAAAAGAGCGGTATAAAAAGGGAAATTGAACCCTGCTTGATGATGAGAAAGAAAAGATAAGAAAAGAAAAGGATAGAAACGAATAGCACACACAATACAGCAGGGAAACGATTATCAAGATAGGTGGTCTTCGGCAGCAGAGGGTGGAATGCATAATCAAATGAACCATTGCGATGGCTGTATGATGAAATGAAATGACATGAATGACATGAAATGGTATAATGAAATGTAAGGTGCATATTGACATGGGATGACGAAATGTAAAGTGCCTCTGATCTACATACTTGATCTACAAGATGCATGATGCAGATTGATTTACACGATTGACCACTCACATATATGCGACTGCGGCATTTGCTTCCTTAGGAGCTTCGATCTTCACATTGGTAGCAGGTGTGCAGTTATCCGTTGTATACCACATGAACCAGGCACAACTTAGACCACCACCGATGTTGAAAAGTTGATACATCGTCGTGAAATTCCCAGCCACCGCCTCCGGCAACTGAGTGCATCCATATTTGATGCGGACGGTGTAGGGCCTGGAAGCCTTGTCTTTGGCATTACGATCCCGGACGAGTGTCATACTGCTGGCTAGCACTTGGTCAGGTGCACCTGAGAATGGATGGCACAAGCACAAGGGGAAACAGGGAACAAGGACGGGAGGGAACAAGAAGAAAATGTGGTGGATGTCACAAGCAGAAGGAAAGGACGGGGTAAACCGTTATGTTATGAATCTGACACTCGCACAAATTGTCTGCTGCATGTTGAAGCTACTGGTACAGTCCAAGTTAAGGAATTTTATCGGTCGCAGCATGAGGTGTCAGCCTCGGTTTGCGATGCTCTCAGCTTCGTGATCCATCACCGCACTACACCACCTCGTCCGCCCTCATCAACCGCAGGGGAGCATGCAGCAGGTAATCAATAGAGAGGATAAAGCAGGGCGCAATTGAATCTTACCCTGGATGCATTCTGTTGGGGTCATCCCATAGCCTGTAGGGCACTCGCAGTGTGGCACATCTGCCTCATAATAGTACGAAGTTATGTGGATGGTTTTGCAGGTGGCGCCAGTAGGACACGTGCCACAGGGTGAGTCTGAGCAACACAGCAGCACGCAAGGGAGACACACAGTACAGATACAGCAGAGGGATGGGGAAATGAGCACGGCAAATGGGAACTGCACCACACAAATGGGCCAGCTTCACACGAGTGTGAAGTGAATTGCACCAGATGATAAGGATAGTGGAGAGATTGTAGGCGCCTTAATAAGCCTCACACAATTTTGGAGTGAGTGAAGTGTGCGTAACGATAGAGGTAGTGGAGATAGAGGCTGAGTGCGGTGCAAATGGGCTGGGTTGGGTGTAAAGAAGGCTTGAAGCCATGCTTACTCCATTTGCACGAGCGGACTCCGTTGGTGTTCACACAAACCCCATCCGGTTCGCAACCCAACTCGTAGCAAGCCTTGTCTGATGTGAGTGCAAGGAAGGATGGGATGGAAGAGAGGGGGAGAAGGATGGGGTGGAAGAGAGGGGTAGAAGGATGGGTGGAAGAGAAGGGAAGCTCGAAGGAAGTGAGAAATACAGGTGGAGAATGCACATCTAACTGCAACATTGCAACGAATATCTATCCACTTTCCATGCTAGACCACAACAACTCACCGACGCAACGCAGTTGGTCAGGAGGCATCTCAAAACCCGAGTCGCACTCGCAGGTTGCATCCCCGTTCTCCTTCTTCACACACTTGCCATTAGGCCCACAATCCACTGCAGCACATTTGTCTGCACAAAAAGAGACCCGGGCAAATAGAAGGATTGTATCATATCTATAAAATATTCTACCCAAATCTTGACAATCGCACAAAGGCACATACGCACAAAGAGAAGGAGAGAGCAGGAGAGAGAAGGAGAGAGGAGAGAGAAGGAGAGAGAAGGAGCGAGAAACGAGTGAGAAGGACAGAGAAGGAGAGAGAAGGACAGAGAAGGAGAGAGAAGGAGGTACCGCAAGCGCCATTGATTTGAGCAAAGCCCTCGTCACATGCACAGGTGACGCCCTTGCCGTCACTCGTTAGGGTGCATGTGGAGTTGTTCGGACACTTGGTGTTCTCGCAGGTGACGTCTGGCATGGGGGGCAGCAGGGATGAGTGCGGCACAGCCAGAGTGGGGGAGAGCACATGCATGAGTTGATGGAGGAATGCAGGAATGCAGGTTTCAAAGAGGAGATGCAAGATGCAAGAGATTTGTGTGTGGCAAGGTGGCTAGGAGGAAAGAAGGCAAGGTGGCATGATGATCAGGTGGCATGATGGAAAGGTGGAATGATGGAAAGGTGGAATGATGGAAAGGTGGAATGATGATAAGGTGACATGATGGCGAGGTGGAAAGGTGGCAAGGTGGCATGGTAAGGTGGTAAGGCGGAAAAGTGGCAAGGCACGCACCAGGCTGGCAGGAAACAGAAGTCCATCGGGCGACCTTCTTTATGCTGCAAGGACGTGAGAAACACGCTCAGATGAGACACTAGATGAGACGTTAGGAACACGATACGAACACGATAACACACACTCATCATCGGCTGCTGCCCCACCACCCACGTGCCCCCACCACCCACGTGCCCCCACCACCCACGTGCCCCCACCACCCACGTGCCCCCACCACCCACGTGCCCCCACCACCCACGTGGCCCCCCCACCCACGTGCCCCCACCACCCACGTGCCCCCACCACCCACGTGCCCCCACCATCCACGTGCCCCCACCATCCACGTGCCCCCACCATCCACGTGCCCCCACCACCCACGTGGCCCCACCCCACGACCCACCTGGGAACATTGAAGAATTTGCGCAGAAGGGAGTAATGCGGCTTGAGCACCTGACCCAGCGGCTTGCCCTTGCAGGCGGGGTTGGCAAAGAAGTGCACATGCTTGCACACCGCACCCACCCGCTGCTTCCCACTGCCGCCCTTCAAGGGCCGCCCGTGCCACCACACCTGCACGCTCTGCTGCGCCGTGTGCGCTGCTCGCGGAAGGGTGAAGCAGCGGAGCGCCCCTGCACCGCCGAAGCTGACGGGGAGGCTCACGCCTGGCACCGTGATCTGCGTCGCCACCTGCACGCCCACCTCCACCGCCGCCGCCTGTGCTGCCAACCTCCCCAGCCCCCACCGTCCCGACGCCTGGAGCAGCGAGGTGAGAGGGAGCAGATGGGTGAGAGGGAGCAGATGGGTGAGAGGGAGCAGATGGGTGAGAGGGAGCAGATGGGTGAGAGGGAGCAGATGGGTGAGAGGGAGCAGATGGGTGAGAGGGAGCAGATGGGTGAGAGGGAGCAGATGGGTGAGAGGGAGCAGATGGGTGAGAGGGAGCAGATGGGTGAGAGGGAGCAGATGGGTGAGAAGAACTGTCGAAGTGAGAGGATAATGAGTTGTGAGAAAGTGCAACCGAATCTAAAACGAGAAAGAACGAGGATAATGAGAGGATAATGAGTTGTGAGTGAGTGCAGCCGACTCACCGCAGCCGATTATAAAGCGAGATAGAAGCGACTCACCGCAGAGGACGGCAAGAACGAGGAGCGGAAGCAGCGCGGCAGGAAATTTGGCCATAATGCCTGCCGTTCAGGTCGGTGACTCTTTCGTGTCAGCTGGGTAACTCTTTCGCGACGGTGTTGTTCGTGTCAGCCGTGTAACCCTTTCGCGAAGGTGTCGTTCTTGTCCGCTGGGTAACTATTTCGCGACGGTGCTGGGTGATTCTTGCGCGACGGTGCAGCACGATGCTGTGGTACAGCCGATACAGGCACTATCAGTCACTCGTTGTTTACTAGCTGGAGGTATCGTAGTTGTTAGTGTGGTTAGCCGCTGTTCAAGTATCTATCTGCCGATGTCTTTGACTAGGAGTAATAGAGAAATTAGAGGAGCTGTGAATGACGACCTAATGTGGGGAACCTACAGATATATACTGGTGGGGCTGGAAACTAAGGAGCTGTGGGAGGAATGCGTGAGGAAAGCGGGAAAAACGGCGTAAATTGTACAACCGCAACCGGACCGTGTTCGGTGCGAATGTGAAAAAAGTGGGTTTCGCTTCAGGTGACAGTTACCGAATTTGATTCCGCGTGCGACTCGAGGTGAAACGCGTATGACGCGTTACAAGAGCCGCACACCACATTTTCGAAATGCTTAGATTAAGCTGGTTTGAATTAGAATGTACTTCTCTGTTTTTACTGAAATCTGTCTTCGAATAATCAGAAAGTTCTCCAGTCATACATTCATTTCAACGTCAGCCGGAGGCTATACCAAATCTAAGAGGTGGTAACAGATCTTGATTATTTTCACGTCGAGCCTCTTATTGGTATGACAGGTGATTTAGATACGCCTTTGAGGGGTTGGATGCAGGGGTGGGGTGGTATGCAATGGGTGTTCAATCTTTAGGGGCTGCACTAACCATTCTGTTCGTTGTGCGCTCGCTTTTACCATGGCCTTGTGAACGTTCAAGAAGGCCTTTCAAAGCCCTTTTACGTTCTCCAGAAATGTCAATCTCACCATGGAAGCTTCCTCCTGCTAGCAGCCCTCGCCTCCCTCTCTGCCTCCACCACCTCCTCCCCGACCTGCCCCAGCCCGCGCCTCCCCACCTGCTTCACCCCGAACCTGCTCGTCAGGATCGCCAGCCGGGCCGCATCGTTCCCCCGAACCTCCCGCAGCAGCAGGACCTGGTGGCGGGTGACAACTGTGTGCAGGGTCATCTGGGGGAGGGGCCATGTGAAGTCGGCTGTAGCAGCAGGTGGTGCGGGAGAAGGGGCAATGCCACACGGCTTCTTTTTCTGCTTCCTGTTGTTTTATCTGTTGCTGATGCTGCTGCTGCTCCTTTGATGCATGTCTTGTTTGACTTTCATCCTTCACCACATGAGTCTGCGACAGACGGGTGTTCACCACAGGGCCCCATTCTCTGCGCTTCGCCTCTCTGCTGCTTCCCTTGCTGCTGCTGTTGCTGCATCTTCACTCACTCCTGCTGCAGGATCAGCAGCAGGCGGCGCAGCAGCAGGGACAATTGCAGCGGAAGCAGGGACAGCAGCAGCGGAAGCAGGGACAACAGCAGCGGAAGCAGGGACAGCAGCAGCAGCAGCAGCAGCAGAAGCTGGGACAGCAGCAGCAGCAGGATTAGCCTCGAAACGAAGGCATCCTTGCTAAGCATGATCCTCAGGACACCACCGCAGTCAGGCTGGCACCTATGGGGGTCAAAGAGAACAGCGAAGGCATCAAAATCGAGGTCAGGGTCAAAGAGAAAAACGCATTTAGCAGATACATCACCACCTGCACGCCCATAATCGCCACTACTGATGCTGCTGCTGGCGCCACTGCTGCTTCTCCCATCCCTGTGCCCTTGCTCACCAAGCCCATATCCGCTGCTGCGGCTGCTGTTCCTTTGCCTGCACCCTTGCTCATGTTGAGGCTATTGCATGGTGCTGAAATGTCCTCATTTGCGCTCATGGTGTGCTCTGCCCCGTGGTAAAGCCAACAACGCTGGCTGCAATTTGAGTTTCCTGAGCTGCTTTGGCTGCTCGGGCTGCTTCAACAGTCGTGGCGACCTGATTAATCTTGGCTGCTCCTCTCAGGCCCGCTAAAGCAGGCTCCATGCATGGTGTCAGGGAAGTGGCTACTTGTGGCCTGAAGGGGAGATGGGAGGACAAAATGAGGGGAGAGAAATAAACAAAGAGAGGCGGAGCGTGTATGCATGCGTATGGGAAAAAGGCTTCGTGCATGGTGGCGGGATAATGACGGCTATTGGCCTGAAGGGGAGAGGAAGGTGGAGTAGGGCTGAGGGAGGGTGAGGGCGTGCGCATGCGTGTGCATGATGCCACCAGGTGGCACAAAAGCACTCACATTCTACACACTTGGTTTTGAGCCATCTCAGAACACAACTCCACTGTGCCTCTTATAGAGTTGACTCAAAAAGAGGGAGGGTGGGGGCGTGTGCATGCATGGATGTATTCTAAGCGGGCGATGCACCAGTCAGCACCGAAGCACCCTGGTGGCCTTGTGCCAAATGGCACTCACATTCGGCGCACATAGTTTTGAGCCATCTCAAAACACCACCCCATTGTGCCACTCAACTACTATCTCACCGCAATCTCATCATATCTCACTCAATGCAACCCACCTCACAAGCTCACCTTGCCAGCGAAACAGGTGAAGCTCACAAGCGAATCCAGTCTTCACAAGAATCTTTTCTTTTTTCGACTCAAAACAACAACAGGCAAAACAATTGCCAATGCACACTTTCTGCTAGTGTGTCGTAGTCATCCCCCTTGTTGTGGCCACCCGCAGTGAAACACATCAAGGCTAGCGCTCACTGCCAGCCTTAACTAGTCCTCTAAAATGTGCAGTACACACCTCGTCAGCAAAGAACAACTGCTTGTCCACACTCTCTGTCAGTGTGTCATAGTCATCACCGGATTCCGCCACGCGCACCAAGGCCCTCCCATTTGATGCATTCCACAACTTTTATGTCACATCTGTAGCAAAAACACACATTGCCAACGAAAAATAGCCGCTTGTCCTTGCTCCTGCCAGAGTGTCGTAATCATCCCCCGATGCCGCCATGCGCACATAAGAGTATAACCCCCTCTCCCCATATGGGTCGCTACACCAATGCATGCACACACATTGTAATGGGTGCGGCATAGCTATGCCCTTGGGCTCGTAAATGTCTGATGGGGGGATGGGTGAAGGGGGGTAAGAGTGATGGAGGATTAAGAGAATCTTGGTTCAAGAAGAGTGTACTGGTCGCCATGCCACACGCATATAAGTGCATTCGACTCCTCCTCTTCGAAGTATTTGATCCAACACCAAGAGAAAATAGAACCTAAAAAAGAAGGCAATCTATACAGCGCATTCACTCTTGAGAACTGTGATCATGCGCCATATGAGTGCATATGAGTTTTGCCTTCAACTCTCAACCCCAGCAAGGAAAATGGAGGGGTGACCCACTCACTCTTGAGCACTGCGAGAACGTGCTACATGAGAGCACTGTTTAAAGTTCTCCACTGCCACCCGCGCAATGAGGGCCATGAGTAGAGCGCCGCCTGAGACAGCAGCGTAGGAGTAGAAGAGGAAGAACTCGCCCCGCTGTGAGGGGTGCGATGTGAGGCGGCCAAAGGTGTCAATGGTTGTGCCCCAGAAAACATAGGGGAAGAATTGCTACCTGCATGGTTACGAGGAGGGTGTGAGTGTTTGTGCGTGCAGCAGAGAGAAAAGAGAGAAAGGGTGGGGGGAGAGTGGATAATCGGTAAAGAGCAGCTAGCACGTGTGAATGCAGCAGGAGCCCCACTGCCTCCCAACACCATGGATCAAGAGTAGCGCGCCTCCCGAGACGGCAGCATCCGTAGCATGTTGTGATGTGGTTGTCAAAGCTAAGGTCCCACGTAAGAGAAATTGTCATTAACTACAAAACAATTGAAGCTCAATCACGCTTAAATAGGCGACGTTTAGGGGTTGGTTTGGTAATTGAGTGTGCGAAACCTTCCGATTTTTTTCCCTGAAGCAATTGGGAGATCTTTTTTATGGGTACATGCGACTGACGTGATGCTTGCACAAATTGCTGGTGTTCTAGCTTCGACACCAAACCAATATCCGTACATAAATGGTTCGAACATGAACTGGGACTTGTGTTTCCTTCTTGGATGTCACCCACCCTTTCTTCTTTGAATTGTACATGGTCTCGCACAAGGGCCTGCTGGTATGTGATGTGTCTGAGTTAGGAAGCTCATGATGGTGTAATGGAATCGTGCATATATACAGCCTGACTTGCCCGGGACCATCGTGGACAGCGATGTCACCCACAATGGGCAAAGAAGGTCCCGACATACCAGCAGGCCCTTGTGCGAAATCATGTAGAAGTAAAAAAAAAAAAAAATCTTCTTCTTTGATTTCTACATGGTTTTGCATAAGGGCCTGCTGGTATGAAGCTGCTAGATTGAAAAGACACTCCAGAGGGCTAGCTTTGGCAAGAACGGTTGTTGCACATCCTTGTCAGAACTAGCAGTGAGAAAGAAGAATGAAGAAAGGAGGGGTTGCACTAGCAGCAGTTGGCATACATATAGGAAACCCTAATTGGGTTGTACTCGCTATAGAGTACCCCACTGCAGGCTAGACAATTATAACATTCTGACACACCCCCATAGCCAAAGTGGGGTGTAATCAGCACAATGAGCAAGCATAGCAGTAGTTCACAATTATGAGCAAAGCTAGTGGTAGTCACAGCGGGCAAGTGAGGAGGAGGAGGGACTAAGAGAGGAGAGAAGATGGGAGACGACGGCTGAAGCTGCAGACACACGGGCAACAGGAGCGGCTGGCACAGTGGCTACCGGGACAGCGCCCCGGACTACTGGAGTAACTGGCTCACGGGCTACGAGGAGCTACAGGAGCAACGGACCCACGGGCGACAGGCGCAGCAGGCTCTCTGGGCTACCAGGACAGCGCCCCGGACTACAGGTGCTGCGGACGACAAGACGGCAGCCTCCTCTCAGCCTCCCCAAACAGTCCCACCCCCCTTGACACACACCCCCTGCTTCACCCCTAGCTCCACTCCCCCTTCACCCCCCTAGCACCAC